GTTCACCTGATCAGATAATTTTAACTGTTTTCTAAATAAATTCGAATCTGGTTATCGTCGGGAAAACTTGTGCAATGGGATGTTATCACATTTTATTCAGCGAGACGACATGAATGTTAGTATTAAAAACGTATATTAAATCGTTGCCAGAAATACGGTACAAATTAAGACGGAAGCAAATTTGGTGGTCGGATGAAGAGAATGTGGTGATGAATTGCGATAGGCTTCTTATTTTCCAGAGACGTCCTTCGCGATGCGGTTCACGGGCGACGGCGACGGCGAGGGGCTGCTGGGTAAGTGTGTGCCGACCGGGTACACCTCAATTTTTTTTGTTAAAGATCAAGGAAATTATTGAACCTCGACGTGCGTGAACTGCATCGCGTTGCCAGGAGCATCCTTCAGGACATCACGCGCATCCCGGGTTTCAGAATCGCCCACGGCCATCGACTCCACCTAAAAAAACCGACTTCTGCTTTTTTCCGATAGTTCCAGGATAGTCTAGTAAAAATAGTGTTTTGAAGTGTCGGACGCAAACTTAACTTTTTGATTAGAATTTGTAATGTTTTTATGCACAATAAAAGTTGAAAAGCATTAAAAAACTCATTATTTAAATATATAAAAACTAGTGTTGCCGTAGCCAAGAACCCGAATTCCGAATTTCGCACCTTAATCTTCTGCAAAACGTTGAGCGGCTTGGCAAGTGTGATAACGATGACGGCCGTCTTCTTCGCCTCGATGTACCCGTAGACGGGATCTATCCGAAAGTACGAGTTGTCCGAGCAGCGCATCTTGAACGCCCTTCTCTCCTTCGAGCCGTTTGTTAGGGTGAGCTTGACCTGTTGGTCCCCATCCTTCCATACTATCTTGTCGTGATCTACCTGACCATCCAAAGTAAGGATCTCAAATGCTTGTAACCTACTTTCACCACCGAATCCTTGTTGAGGATGCGCGGATCGCCGGCATCGCCATCCTTTGCCTTGGCGGCTTCTTGCCCAGCCTCTCCTCGGCTTCTTCTTTCAACTTTTCCTTGCAGTTGGCGCGAAAGAGTGCCTCCTCCTCCTGCCGAAGCACTTCATCCAGATCCTGAAATGACAGTGAAATAGACGGAAAAAGCTCACGAATTGTTGCGTGACATCAAACGTCCTATCTTGGATTTTCTCGGGTGGAGTGGGGGGTGGCTGTACAGAGGCTTGCTTGCTCTTCTCCTTGCGCTTCTTCTCTCCACCCTTCGGCTTGTTTTTGTCGGCACCTAAAGGCGAAATGGAATGAATGTCGATGCATGAAGTCTCACTCTTTGGTGCCTTTGCCCCTTTTGGGGCTTTCACCTCCTTGGCCTGCGAGTTCCCTTTGCTTTTCGACTTCCTGACTTTCGCCATTCAGTCGATCCCGTCGCCCTAAAATAACGGATCCTTGAAAATAAAAACAGCAACCATGCCTCTTTAGCGGAACTTTACCTCGAGGCTGGCCCGTCTTCGATCGAATCGCCGCACCCGTGGGTCGTAGGAAGGTCAGTGAACTCGACCGCTCATTAGAAACCGGCAACGAGATTTCAAAAGCCCCCATTCAAATTCATCATGCAACAACACTGCAATTGCTTGTCCAAGTCCGATCCTCAAACCAAGCTAGCGTTTTGCCTTTTGCTCTCTCAAGCCTGCTTCAGCAGTTCCAAATGAATTTATTAGCTAGATAATGCGAAAGTTGCAAAAATACCATCAAGAGAAGACAACTCGGTTGTATATAACTTATTAACAGGCAATTGCTCTTAATGTCTAACGGGCGCATAAATTCTGAGAAGGAACAAGTATCTGAAGCAGTCGATTCCAAATTAAGACGATGACGAGGCGGCAATTTGTGAAAAAGTGAGGATGAGTATGCATAGAAGAATGTTCGGTGAGGGATGTTCACATCAAGGTGCAGTAGCGCTTCTTCCCCTTTTCTTTGGTGTTGAGTCGGTGCGTGAAGACGTTGGCAACGATATCACCGGATACGTCGTTGAACTATAAAGGGTAATATAAGTTTCACTAAAAGTGGAAAGATACCTGCATGGCCGATAGGTCCTTGTCGCTGAGGCTAGCGAGTCGATCTACCAGAATCGTCATCGTAGTCGAGTTTGGGTCGCATTCCTTGACCGCTTGCGCCACCTAAAGATTCAGTCGGGCAATCCAAAAGAAGGATACCTGCAACAGCTTGTTCTGGTCGAGGTTCTTGGCCGCATTTTCGACAAACGCCTCGCACCGGGCGACCACCATGCGCATCTCGAAGCGATTCGCGATCCGCAGCACCGAGACTACATTCGCCGCTAAAATTGGGGCACTGTAAAATCGAAAAAATCAAACGTACTGGTTAGGTGTTTGCGGTAGGGGCAGTAGAAAATGCAGCGCATGAATTCCAGCATGTCGGCGTACGGGATGTCGTCGACCACGAGCTGTTGACTGCCACGGCGATATTCGGTGCCGAAGCAGTAGTCTGCGAAGAATGACGACATCTCGGCCAGCCATCCAGCGTTCACGAACCTAAAGAAAAAACAAATTGAGGCGACCAAAAACCCTACAGCTTCTTGTCTTCACAAACAATCTCGAATTTTCGGCAGACCGTCGGCATTGAGAAATCATCATATACCGCCTTCGTTACAACGATGTCGTTGTTCATCTAAGAACGTTGTTTTCTTCAAAACTATTCGGGGACAGAAGCAGAAAAGAAGAGGCAACTGGGTACGCTAAGTTTTCTGCGTGTAAATGCAATCAATTTTGGAACTACTGACTCAAATCTTTCCAGAAAAGGGAAAGAACGAGAACCGAAATTAATGAGCAAACCGTGTTTGAGCAAGGATGGGGCGTTTTTATTCTGTCAACGGCTCTTACACTCAATGCACGTTTATTGGCAAAATCATTAGCAAATTCAGAGAGAATTTATACTACTAAAAAGTTACAATTTGAAAAATAAGAAAGATCAGCACCGCCACGGGGAACACGTTGGGACCGAAAAAACGAATAATGCGAGAAATCCAAAAATTCGGAGAAGACAACGAATGGCTCCTATGAACGACAGTTGTGTTTAGGATCGACCGGAACGCGGAAAATTCAAAAGAAAAGAAAAATAAAAAACTTTTAAAAGTTTAAGTTTTACATTTTGTAAAAGGGAATCGCACACAGTGAAATGGCTGCCGGGTTTCTGCCGGAGGGCAGCCGGGAAAAATGGCTCTGCCGGCTGGCAGCCGGGATCTTGCCGGTTTTCTGCCGGATTTTTACCGGGACCTCTGGCAGAATCCCGGCTGCCGGCTGCTCGACCTGGCAAAAAGCCGGCGGCCGGGTTCTTGCCGGCCCGCTGCCGGGTCTGCCGGAATCCTGCCGGCTTTCTGCCGGCTGCCGGGATACTGCCGGATTCTTGCCGGTGTAAACATGTATTTATTCGTAGCCCTACCCCAACTTTCGAATTTCTCGGCTTTTCCCTGTTTTCTTAGCGCGTTCAGTTTCTTCTTTCATAAATTTTGATTTTTACAGTTCTTCAACAAGAGGTAAGTATACAGCTTATAAAAACGTTTGATGTTTTTAGAACGCAGCCTGTGAATTGGTATTAGAGGTTTTTTTCTTTGAGATATGGCAACACCTTTGATTTCTCGTCAAATTAATGGAAGTTTTCAGATAAAGTTTATTTCGATTCAATATCTGCCGCCGTCTTTCTGGGTTCAATGTGCCTGTATGTCAAGTTAAAAGGAACTGCAGATCAGCCAGGATATTTCAGTTTCATTAGCCTTTTAGGAAGTTTTGGGCTATAATGAACCAGCCTACACGTTTACGATATGCTTCGCCAATGTGACGAAGTAACTTCAGGAAACAAGAGAAGTTTAGTAAAATCTAATCGTTTGTTTCTAGATAAACCCTGCGCCTGCTTTTCGTATCCAAGCACCGTGGTTTTAAAAGTATGTTTACTATTAAGTTAAGTTTAATGGGTTTAAAAACTCATTAACGCTGAAAAAGGTTAAACTAATGCAAGTTTACAGTTTGATTGTTGCTGCGAACGTCTACTGCCAAGTCTCGTGCTTCGAAAAGTAAGTGATAAACGAAATTAAAGACAAGATAAAGTACTACTATATTGGCACAAGTTTACAGGCGTCGCCTACGTTGCAATCGCGAAGCGGAAGCGGAAGCATTATATTGGCAGAAGCTCGGCAAATGGCCGGCGAATAACCGGCAGGATGCAGGCAAGAACCTGGCAAAAGCGATTCGTGAAGAGCCGGCATGTGCCGGCAGAAACCCGGCTGCCGGGTTTTCGCCGGATGGCAGCCGGGTTTCTGCCAGATGGCAGCCGCCGGCTGCCGGCGGCAGCCGGATGGCAGCCGGCGGCTGCCACCCGGCAAGAACGCGGCGATTTCCCGGCTGCCACCCGGCAGGATGCCGGCATCCATGTCTCTGTGCAGCTAACAAAATTGAAGATGAGCACAAGTCTTTTGCGCGGAAGATCCGTGCCGAAGATCGTTCAAGATCTGCGTTGCCTTGTCCCCGGCGACCAACTTGCACTGCTGATTCTGGAAAGTTTCATCGTTGTATTTCTATGACCGGTTTATCTCGTCCTACGTAAGACTTTTTAGACTATACTTCTCTTTAACCTACATCATAACCGGCAAAATTCTGGTCGCACAATCGGTTGAGCTCCTCGATGAGCGAGATCTGGGTGACGGCCAGAAAATCGTTTTTGAAGTAGCCCTTGCATTGGTTGATGATCACCTAAATTACAGTGGTTTATGAGATTTTTGACAGACTTTCTTAATATTTAGATAAGCGACTTCAATGCTTATCGCGGAATCGGATACTTACCTGACAATCGTGGCAGTACTGACTCCTGGCTTGGAATTGGGAGACGACGGTCAGCAACAACAGCAGCAGTTTCAGCATTTCGTCACAAAACACGGGAACACTAGTGAGGAACGCGCTGGGTAGCGGGTGTTTCGCTCGACGCACGTTTATCAGGCGCCCATAAATGGGCCGGTCAGCCACAAAAAATTGGCGAATGAGGCCAATTGGGGCCGTCAGCCGACTGGACACACACCAGCATCGCAATTTCTTGTATGGCAGCGTGATGAGTTTTCTTTCTGATTTCACGAAAATCTGATTCTCTCTGTATTTAGTGATAGTGTAGATGGACACCATCTTGAAAAATCACCAATATAAAAATGGGCTTTTCCCTGTGCAAATGATAAAAATGTTCTGCATCCTTTTCGATTGTATCTTTTCAGGATGGTGACCATTATTCGGTAAGGATTGCTGATAGTCATTTGTTGAGTTGATGGAAGAAGAGAAGAACATCTTTATTTATTCAACCACCACATTAATTGCTAACTCCGTTAATGGGCATCAGGCTTCGGGCAACGCTCGGCGATCAGCTTGTTGAGGATGCTCGGCCCGAGCTCAGCCACCCAGCACGCGTGGCAGTTCCAAACTAAACCAGAGGCCGATTGGCTGTCGGGGAATTGGGCCTACCCAGCTGCACGCGGAGCCGCTTGGCCAGTTCCGGGTCGACGGGGCCGCTGTTCAACACAATCAACTCAAGACGGCTTTCGCAGCCGGCGTGATGACGACAGGGGGAACTTCTGCGCCACCGACGACAAACCTGAGCCATTATTAAAATTTATATTCCAGGTGGACTTACTTGGCGCGGGTGGCACAGTTGGCGCACCATGGAATATCGAAGCGCGTTTCGACCCAGTTCCCGTGGCAGGCAACACACTGAAAAAAAATTTTACGTGGGTGTTAGAAGGGGGAACTAAACTTTTTTGGCCCAAGATTATATCTTTTAATAGCTAATAAGTCTTTATTTTTTGCATTTGATTTCATCGTCTGCTTTTTTACTCTCTTGAGCAGAAAGGCTTCAACATTTTTAAATAAAAATTTGATTTTGGTTCGACTTGGATTTTGCAACTATTAGGGCACTCATATTTCCCCCAGCCGACACTATCTTATCTCGGTTCTCAACATCTACAGGTGCAAAGCATACCCAAAATTCGTCTTGCCTGGCGAGGACAGTATTTCTGGTATACTTACACACCTGTAGATATACCAGGAGCCGAGATACGGTAGGTGGGTCGTATTAAAGCTATCTGAGTTAAATTCAACTATTTTTAAGTGTTTTCCTACTTCAAACTACTACTTTCCGACTTCAAAATAATCGTTCCTCCCTGTTCACGGGGGTGGGAAGCTATTTTTAATATTCCGCCCACTACTTTCATACCTACCATATAAAAAAAATAGTTCCTGTGTGTGTGTGTGTGTGTGCATTTGCATGCAACTTCCGTCAGGTTGTTCCAGTCACCGTATCTCAAGAAGGAGGGAAGCTACGGGGGTTTTTGATACGTCATTCGGTGCGTAATGGTCTGGGAACGGCTGCACATTTATCAGATTTGCAAAAGTCTTTTTCGACATTAAAATTAGGTTTTTCTAAAATTCCAGCCATCCTTTTAGAATCAATTAGGCATGTAATAATCGGAAGCGAGGTGGCTTATAAAAAGGAAGAGATGGCGTGCTTTTCACTTTTTTTGCTAGAATTCGAGAAGAAGCATGCAAATCGAAGACTTTCACAGGTCGTAGATGATAGCTGAAGAAAGCAAGCAGCGGTTTTTCAACCTTGTAAATGAATTTATATTGTTTCTAGTAATATTTGTATGCTAAAAGTCTAGTGCAATATCCAAAAAAAAATTTAAAAATGTAAATGAATTTTATATTGTTTCTAGTAATATTTGTATGCTAAAAGTTTAGTGAAATATCCAAAAAAAAAATTTAAAAATTGGGGATGTTTAACCTTTTTTGGGAAATATTGATTCATTTTTGAAGGGAAAGTCAAAAATATTCGAAAGTGTTTTTAATTGTTTTTTCAGTTTTTTAAATTAAAAAAAAACGTAAAGTGCTATTACAATGGTAGAAATTCCGTAGGGAATTAATGCAAAGTTAAAATTAAATTAAGCCTCGCCGCAAATACTTAAGTATCGAAACATGGATTAAACCTGCCTTACGGGCAGCCGGCACCGGGTGCCGATCGTCAATCAGATCGATCGCAAGCAGTGGGCGGGTGGCGGAAGCTAGCTGTTGTTCCGTATACGCCTGGGATAGTGATACGTAGGCGATTTGATCAGATTACCAGGAACGGCCGATGGCCCCACACACTACCGACGTAGCCAGCCGTCTCGACGGGCTGACGCGGCATCAGCGGCGCCCACTGGATCTTGGCGCGCCGGCTGTCCACGTGCTAAATTAAGCGATGGACACTTTCAAGTCGACCAACGGTCTTGTAGACTTTGTGGCGGGTGGGCGACGGCTTACGCTCATGGTTGAGCTCTTTTTTGCCTGGGCTTCTAGACGGCTTCCGACCGCTCCGCCTCGAGATCGCCTTTTTCCGGCATCCTGAAAAGCTTGTTTAGGGTGATTTAATTGGCTTGAATGAAACCCCCAAAATATAATAAAAATAAAAATACCGGGGACGGGGGGGGGTCCGTGAGGCAAGGCTTAAAGGGGTAGCCGATCACGCAAATTGGAAAATTTCATAGAACCTGATTGGTTTTTATAGAAGAAAACCTTTTCAAAAATGTATTTAAAGTTGACATGGAAATTAATTTTCTGAAATTTTTCATTTGCCTTTTTTGTGTGCATGGCTGCGTTTAGCATCATTTAGTACTGCATATTCCACAGGATCTTCTTGTTCAACCGAGAGGGAGAGAGAGAGAGAGAGAGAGAGAGAGAGAGAGAGAGAGAGAGAGAGAGAGAAAGAGTCTAGATTTTGGTACAACGTTGTTGGGTTTCTCGTCTAGCGGCACCCACCCACTTTGTTTATTTATTTACCCTGAGGTGCAGCACATAAAAAGAACATCAACAACAAAAACAATAAATAAATATAGCCGCATTGGGTAGGCTAAAAATCAATGTGGCGGACCGAGGACGATCGCTTTTGCACTTCTTCTTCCCTGAAAAATGGTGGTTGAAAAAGTAATAAAATTTGGGAAAATTGGCCAACATTAATTTAAAACAGCAAGATACTCGAGAATCCTTTTTCGAACTCTCAATGCAACACACAGAAGACAAGATGCGGCCGCGGTGAGCACGAGTAGGAATACCGATCCGACGAGAACAGCTCTAAAGGCTGGTTTGTGGTTCTTTGGTGTTAGCGGGGGGTTCTGGTATTTTTGTCGCTGTCAGTATGTGTCAGAAGGAGCCCTGCGGAAAATGGGGTTTTCCGCAGGGCTATTTTTGTCGCTGTCAAGATGTATGTGTCAGAAGGAGCCCTGCGGAAAATGGGGTTTTCCGCAGGGCTATTTTTGTCGCTGTCAGTATGTGTCAGAAGGATTCCCTATCACCTGTTCGAAAATCATCTGTTCGAAAATCACCTGTTCGAAAATCATCCGTTCGAAAAATCATCTGTTCGAAAATCAGCTGTTCGAAAAGACCTCTGTTCGAAAAATCATCTGTTCGAAAAGTCATCTGTTCGAAAATCATCGGTTCGAAAATCATCTGTTCGAAAAAACACCGTTTTTGAAGCAACAACTTTTCCAAAATTCAAAGTTTTTTTGAAAAGACTTTTCATGACAAAAAAAAACAAAAAAAAAACAAAAATACATATTCATGAAGATTCAGGTTAAAATTTTGGCGATGTTGTCGAGGAACTCGGCCATATATTCTTTGCTGTAGTTCTCGCAGAGCTGCCGCTGCTCGTCGATGGTCACCTCAGCGCTTCTTTGGCTTAGTAGAGGATTCGATATAGCCGCGCAATTTCAGATTTTCCTCGAACTTCCCCACGAAACATGCAAAACACAGCATTTTAGTAGCAATAGCTTCCCATAGAATTGTTCCCCATTTGGGACCTTTTTCGAATAGGTGATTTTTCGAACCGATGATTTTCGAACAGATGACTTTTCGAACAGATGACTTTTCGAACAGGTGATCGGCCACCGTCAGAAGGAGCCCTGCGGAAAATGGGGTTTTCCGCAGGGCTATTTTTGTCGCTGTCAAGATGTATGTGTCAGAAGGAGCCCTGCGGAATATGGGGTTTTCCGCAGGGCTATTTTTGTCGCTGTCAGTATGTGTCAGAAGGAGCCCTGCGGAATATGGGGTTTTCCGCAGGGCTATTTTTGTCGCTGTCAGTATGTGTCAGAAGGAGCCCTGCGGAATATGGGGTTTTCCCGCAGGGCTATTTTTGTCGCTGTCAGTATATGTCAGAAAGAGCCCTGCGGAAAATGGGGTTTTCCGCAGGGCTATTTTTGTCGCTGTCAAGATGTATGTGTCAGAAGGAGGCCTGCGGAAATGGGGTTTTCCGCAGGGCTATTTTTGTCGCTGTCAAGATGTATGTAATAAAGGAGCCCTGCGGAAAATGGGGTTTTCCGCAGGGCTATTTTTTGTCGCTGTCAAGATGTATGTGTCAGAAGCGAGCCCTGCGGAATATGGGGTTTTCCGCAGGGCTATTTTTGTCGCTGTCAAGGTATGTGTCAGAAGGAGCCCTGCGGAAATGGGGTTTTCCGCAGGGCTATTTTGTCGCTGTTAAAAAAAAGCGGTCTAGAAGGAGCCCCGCGGGAAAATGGGGTTTTCCGCAGGGCTATTTTGTCGCTGTCAAGATGCATGTGAAAAAAAGGAGCCCTGCGGAAAATGGGGTTTTCCGCAGGGCTATTTTTGTCGCTGTCAAGATTATGTGTAGAAAGAGCCCTGCGAAAATAAGGTTTTCCGCAGGGCTATTTTTGTCGCTGTCAAGATGTATGTAACAGAAGAGCCCTGCGAATATGGGGTTTTCCGCAGGGCTATTTTTGTCGCTGTCAAGATGTATATGTCAGAAGGAGCCCTGCGGGAAAATGGGGTTTTCCGCAGTGGGCTATTTTGTCGCTGTCAAGAAGTACGGTCAGAAGGAGCCCTGCGGAAAATGAGGTTTTCCGCAGGGCTATTTTTGTCGCTGTCAAGATGTATGTGTCAGAAAGAGCCCTGCGGAAAATGAGGTTTTCCGCAGGGCTATTTTTGTCGCTGTTAAAATGTAAGGTAAGAGAAGAGCCCTGCGGAAAATGAGGTTTTCCTGCAGGGCTATTTTTGTCGCTGTCAGTATGTATGTAAGAAGGAGCCCTGCGGAAAATGAGGTTTTCCGCAGGGCTATTTTTGTCGCTGTCAAGATGTATGTGTCAGAAGGAGCCCTGCGGAAAATGAGGCTTTCCGCAGGGCCATTTTTGTCGCTGTCAAGAAGTACGGTCAGAAAGAGCCCTGCGGAAAATGAGGTTTTCCGCAGGGCTATTTTTGTCGCTGTCAAGATGTATGTAACCAGAAGGAGCCCTGCGGAAAATGAGGTTTTCCGCAGGGCTATTTTTGTCGCTGTCAAGATGTATGGTCAGAAGAGCCCCTGCGGAAAATGAGGTTTTCCGCAGGGCTATTTTGTCGCTGTCAAGATGTAAGTCAGAAGAGCCCTGCGGAAAATGAGGTTTTCCGCAGGGCTATTTTGTCGCTGTCAAAAAGAAGTGTCAGAAGAGCCCTGCGGAAAATGAGGTTTTCCGCAGGGCTATTTTTGTCGCTGTCAAGATGTATATGTCAGAAAGAGCCCTGCGGAAAATGAGGTTTTCCGCAGGGCTATTTTTGTCGCTGTCAAGATGTATGTGTCAGAAAGAGCCCTGCGGAAAATGAGGTTTTCCGCAGGGCTATTTTTGTCGCTGTCAAGATGTATGTGTCAGAAGGAGCCCTGCGGAAAATGAGGTTTTCCGCAGGGCTATTTTTGTCGCTGTCAAGATGTATGGTGTCAGGAAGAGCCCTGCGGAAAATGAGGTTTCCGCAGGGCTATTTTTGTCGCTGTCAAGATGTATGTATCAAGAAAGGAGCCCTGCGGAAAATGAGGTTTTCCGCAGGGCTATTTTTGTCGCTGTCAAGATGTATGTGTCAGAAGGAGCCCTGCGGAAAATGAGGTTTTCCGCAGGGCTATTTTTGTCGCTGTCAAAGTATGTGTCAGAAGGAGCCCTGCGGAAAATGGGGTTTTCCGCAGGGCTATTTTGTCGCTGTTAAAAGAAGCTGTCAGAAGAGCCCTGCGGAAAATGGGGTTTTCCGCAGGGCTATTTTTTGTCGCTGTCAAAAAGAAAGCGGTCAGAAGGAGCCCTGCGGAAAATGAGGTTTTCCGCAGGGCTATTTTGTCGCTGTCAAGAAGTACGTGTCAGAAGGAGCCCTGCGGAAAATGGAGGTTTTCCGCAGGGCTATTTTGTCGCTGTCAAGATGTATGTGTCAGAAGGAGCCCTGCGGAAAATGAGGTTTTCCGCAGGGCTATTTTTGTCGCTGTTAAAAAGAAGCGGTCAGAAGGAGCCCTGCGGAAAATGAGGTTTTCCGCAGGGCTATTTTTGTCGCTGTCAAGATATGTCGGTCAGAAAGAGCCCTGCGGAAAATGAGGTTTTCCGCAGGGCTATTTTGTCGCTGTCAAGATGTATATGTCAGAAGGAGCCCTGCGGAAAATGAGGTTTTCCGCAGGGCTATTTTTGTCGCTGTTAAAGAAGCGGTCAGAAAGAGCCCTGCGGAAAATGGGGTTTTCCGCAGGGCTATTTTTGTCGCTGTCAAGAAGTATGTGTCAGAAAGAGCCCCGCGGAAAATGGGGTTTTCCCGCAGGGCTATTTTTGTCGCTGTCAAGATGTATGTGCCAGAAGGAGCCCTGCGGAAAATGAGGTTTTCCGCAGGGCCATTTTTGTCGCTGTCAAGATGTACGTGTCAGAAAGGAGCCCTGCGGAAAATGAGGTTTTCCGCAGGGCTATTTTTGTCGCTGTCAAGATGTATGTGTCAGAAGGAGCCCTGCGGAAAATGAGGTTTTCCGCAGGGCTATTTTTGTCGCTGTCAAAGATGTGTCAGAAGGAGCCCTGCGGAAAATGAGGTTTTCCGCAGGGCTATTTTTGTCGCTGTCAAGATGTATGTGTCAGAAAGAGCCCTGCGGAAAATGAGGTTTTCCGCAGGGCTATTTTTGTCGCTGTCAAAAAGTATGTGTCAGAAGGAGCCCTGCGGAAAATGGGGTTTTCCGCAGGGCCATTTTTGTCGCTGTCAAGAAGTATGTGTCAGAAGAGCCCTGCGGAAAATGGGGTTTTCCGCAGGGCTATTTTTGTCGCTGTTAAGAAGATGGTCAGAAGCGAGCCCTGCGGAAAATGGGGTTTTCCGCAGGGCTATTTTTGTCGTTGAGTTTTGAGGGGGTCTGCGGAAAATGAGGTTTTCCGCAGGGCTATTTTTGTCGCTGTTAAAAAGAAGCGGTCAGAAAGAGCCCTGCGGAAAATGAGGTTTTCCGCAGGGCTATTTTTGTCGCTGTCAAGATGTATGTGTCAGAAGGAGCCCTGCGGAAAATGAGGTTT